CATCAGTAGTATTGCCCTCTCTACCGGATTATTCCCATCAGCCTAGAAACAGGTTCTCTCCTCCCCCGCCCCCCACACACACTGCTCCCTACTCCTTGCCCTGCTTTATTTCTCTCCGTAGCACTTCTCAACCTTTGACAGGTTCAGTATCCTTCTGATTTGTTTGTTTCTCATTTGTCTCCCTCCAGCAGAATGTAAATTCCTCCATGGCAGGGACTGGTGTCTGGCTTGTGTCTCGCTGCCTCCCCACCCAGTGCTTAGCACAGTGTCTGGCACACAGTAGGCGCCCCTTGATGTTGTGGAATGGAGGGATGTCCGAGAGGCAGGGCTGAGGTGCTGTCGGTGGGGCAAAGGAAGCGGCTGCACAGTTGATTTAAGTGCTGCATCAGTTTCTGTGAGTCACGGGAGAGGAGGAACCACAGGACTAATTAATTACCCATTAATGTCTCCTTGGGAGACAACACACCAAAGGCCCTGATAGGGCTCATCCTTCAGGTTATGTAAACAATGGTCAGGAACCCGGTGCCTGAGACCCCCTGCTCCTCGCCCTGCCCTCAGTTGTTGGGTCAAAGGAAGGAGGACATACAGCAGGTCCCCTGGGTTCCATGGGGTAAAGGAGAGTTGAGGCGGTAGGGGTGGGGTGGGGCAGGGACAGGGACGACTGGCTGGATTCATTCCCTCCCTCCCTTCCTCCCTTAAGTTTCAGGTGGACAGAGGCCCTCAGAGGCCCAGCCCCACAAGAACTAAGGTCCCTGGGCCTTTCCATTAACTCCCAACTCAAAAGGTCCTTGGCCTCAATCTGACCTCCGTCCAGCTTCAGTTCTGTCCTGTGGAATCTGTGGTCACCTGGCTCCAACCCATCCCCAGAACCAGCGCCCAACACCCCTGCTCTCTCCAGCTGCCCATCCTGGCATCCCCTGCCCTAGTGTGGGGCATTCTCAGCACCATGCGGGGCCCTCCCTGCACTGCTGCTAGAAAATTAAAGCATTTAGCGCGTCCTGCCTTGCTCGCTGCCTCAAGGAAGATGCTGAGGGAAGGGTGAAGAGAAGTGTCAGAGGAGGTCCAGACCCCCTGTGAGAACCAGCCCCCACCCAGCCTGAGCCTTGGCAAAGTTAAGGGAATCAAATGGGTTTCTCTCCTGGAGATCACAGCCCCTCCCCTTGCAGGACTCCGCCATTCCTGAGGGCAGGGCCACAGCAGCACTGGGCTGAGGCTGGCGGGAGGGAGCCCAGGTGTTTAGGGCTGTGGCCCAGCCTTGAGAGGCAGCCCCTCCTAGGCCTCACCCCATCAGCTTTGGTGCATTCTCAAGAGGCCTTGGGTTTTCTGCCTCACCCCACCCCATCCCCACTGGGCGCCAGACCCTAATGCCAGTAGAAGTGGGTGAGTCAGCCGAAATGTACTAACCCATCCTCCTCTCCCCTCTAGTGCTCTCTCAGGTGCTTTCTGTAGAAGCTCATGGAAAATCAGGCAGGGCAGCTGGAGGGCCGGGCTGGGCTGATGGGCAAGGTGGAGGGGCTGAGACCGGGCAGGAGGGCTAGGCTGGGGAGAGAGGACGGGTGGGGCGAGGGCCTGGCCATCAGGTTTGCGGCTGTGGAACCACAGTGCCTAATTAATTATGCCTCCATGCCCACAGGACTTCGGGCAGGTTGCTCTGCCTCAGTTAGTTCTTCTTTGGGGCCTCCCAAAAGCTACTGAGGGTCTCCCGCCACCTACGTCAGAAGCCAAGCGGGGGGCCTAAGGAAGTAACTCAACAGAGGATGTTAGAAATCAGGTGATGGGCCTAATGAGCCGAGAGCTCTCTCTGCCAGCCCAGGCTGGCCAGTTTGAGGCCCTCGGGAAACATCCCGGACCCCGTGCTTTAAGGAAGATGAATGAGAAGCTGTATGGATAGGCCGGAGGCTGGGAGACAGTTAGGAGGCCCCTCCAGTGTCCTGGCGTCAGGGACAGGGGCAGGGAGAACGTGCAGGTCAGCGCGGAGCCCGATGGTGATGGAACATTACCCTTCAACGTCTGGAAGTTGAGTAGATTCCTCCAGGGCAGCGAGGAGGGTGGATTGACAGTAATTGTTCCTTTGGGGGAAAGTCCCCCCCCCGCTCCCGCCCCCAGCCCGGCCTCACCTCAGTTCACTTCCTGGAGTCTCACTTCTCAGGAACCAGACCCAGAGCCCCCTCTCCCCAGCCCAGGGGTGGAGGACTGAGGGAGGTGGTGATTCAGAGGCTCCATGGGGAGCACAGCAGGGGCAGGGCAGGGGCAGGGGCAGGGCAGGGAGGAGAGGAGTCACTGCTCTCACCTGCAAGGGGCATTCTCCAGAGGAGCCAGGAGAGGCACTATCAGAAGAGGCAGGGGAGCCTGTAGTGGGGGAGGAAGCTCTCCAGCTGGCCACTCACTTCCCACCCAAACCACATTCAAGGCCTGGATCGTCTTCTTACCATGATGACCTTGGGCACGTTACCTGACCTGCCTGCCTCAGGTGCCTCATCTTTAAATCGGGGCTAACATGAACTCTCTCACAAGACTGGGCAGTGATTGCATGTGATGGCACGCACAAAGAACACGGTAGTTTCTCGTCTCCTGTGGTACTGGTACCCTTACTGTAAA